ATCATCTCAGTGAAGTCACCCCATTTACCCACTGTCTCAATGTAAATATCAAAGTAGGCTTCATCCTTGATCCCTGCCTTTCCCTCACCTCACATATTCATTCCATCACAAGTCCTATTAAATTAGTTCACAAAATATATCTTAATTTTTCCCCTCTTCTTTTCATCTACACTATCACCACCCCTGTACGAATCAGCATCATCTCTTGCAGGACCCCTGGCAAACCCTCTTAACTGGTTTCCCTGTTTCCATCCTCCAATCAGCAACTAGAGGAACCATTTTAATGAATATCAGAGCTTATCATTTCCTGTTTGAAATGATCAAGTGGCTTCTCATGGTTTTTACGATAGAATTCAAATTTCAACAGGACATAAAGCCTGCAGTTGACATGGTCTTCGTATATCTTCTCTCTGATCTTAGCTCCACTGCCTTGCCCCTTGCTCACACTCCACCACATTGGCCTTCTTTCTTTCAGCTTAAAAGTCACCTACTCACTGGCACCTTCTTATCTGTCCTCTTTGAATAGTGAAGTCCCTAAGCCTACCTGATGTTTTCATGGCAACCTATGTATATTCCTCATATCATTCATCACTTTTCCAAATTATCTCATTTGTTTATTTATTTGCCTTTTTTGTCCCTTCTTAGCAGAACACAAGTTCCAGAAGAGCAACAATTTTGCTTGCTATATTTTCCCACCATTGCATCCCTAGTGACTGGCACATAGTAGATGCTCAAATAATGCTTTTTTAAATGAATCATCGATTTCATTGATTCTCAAAATTTAGTCTATGGAGTCCTGGGTTCTGTAAAGGCTCTTCAGTTTCAGTGGGAGCAGGGAGAGAGAGGGCAGAAGAGTGAAACAGAGTACAGGTCAAGTTTTGAGCCTTCCATGGATTCAACTGGAGCATTTTTGCTTTTATCTGTTTATGCAATGGCTTCCATGTAAGATTTTGTTTGTTAAAAAATTTATACTATTAAAAGTATGTGACAACCAGGAATCCCTTGCCACCTTTCGTCTGCTACATGAGCTTCTTGCCTGTGGCCACAAAGCATAACAGTAGCTCACTGTGATCAAAACCCAGGTTCCCCTGACAAAGATGCACAGGCTTTCCACAATATCTAATGTGTTCCAAATATCTCAAGTCCAAAATGCAGCTGTTGTTTTTCTTTCTCATTAAATAATAAAATCCCTTTGTCCTCCTTACCATGAAAACCAACAGTCCGCTGGATTTCTCTTAAACCCACTACAGAACTTTATTTTAAATGACAGAACTGCTGGTCTGAACTGAATCATAGTTAGCTATTTACCTGTGGTTTTCTAAGCAAATAGTTAAAACTAAAGGAAGAAACCAAATGAGATTTTCTTCACATTTAATGTTTTCCTCTGCAAATCAAGCTGTCAAGCAGCAGAATATACCTTAGAGCTACAATGTAGCATAAATGTCAAACAGATTGTAAATTATGATAATCATTTTATAAACCAATGTACAAGAATTAATTCGAGAATATTAACTTTGGCTTAATTTATAAAGGCATTTATGAATACAATATAATAAAATATATGTCCCCTGATTTGCTATACACAGGAGTCTGGAAGGGGTTTATTACAATATGAAAAGGGTTAAACTATCACTTTCTCCCAGTTGATTAAAAATTAAAATGTATTCCGTTTACTAAAATACAAGTTGAGATGAATGTTACAAAGCCTATTGTGCACAAACCAGATTTGAAACAATGTTGAAATCTGGAAAACTCAGTTTATGGGGAGCCAAACTCTTTAAGCTCTATGAAAATATATGTGGTGTTCAATATGGGAAATAGAATACAATAGAATTATTAATAAGAACTTAATAAATAAGTAAAGAAACTATAAAGAGAGATAATATTTAAGAATACGGGGGGAAAACTATGGTATTATGGAAGAGCAATTCCTTGGAAGTTAGAAGCTCTGCATGTACCCAACAAACTAACATACTACGCTAGTTCTCAACAATTTAACAAAATCTCACAATAGTGTATAGCACATAGCACTTTCAAAGACTGTTTTCAAACACCTCTCTCCATTACTCTTACACAGGTTCTATCAAAATAAGGACTTTTAATTTTTTTTCTAGAGATAACAAAAATACGGATTTTCAAGTTTTCCTGATATTCCAAAGCTTTTTGGCCCCCAAATGAGGGATTTTTTCCCACCTGATATAATGAAATTACAAACACATCTTACCATAACATTTAACATTTTAATATATCTATTTCTATAAATTGTTAATAGTGAGATAGATGTCAGAAAGATAACAAAATTTTGAAAGAAGTATAGTAATAAATGCCAACTAGAACTTTAGTTGAGTAATTCTAAGATTCGCCACCTGAAGTAAATCTTCATGTTAAACTTGGTTAAAAAAAATTAAAATTGACAGTTATATATGAAGAATTAGTTTAATATGTCTACAATTAGAGGAAAGCAGGATGGATATGTTATTAATTTAATAAAATGCAAATAAATGTACTGCAATTGTCTAACTTATTTTTACAACATTAAACTGGACTTTTTCTACTTAAAACAACTAGTTACTTGGTAAAGTAATGGTTACCAAGAGTGGTAACAGGAAATAATTAAGACTCTTTTACCAGTGGGTGCTTAGACTTATCCTTCAGGTTTACTTTCGTTTGATTGTCTGCCTTGCAGGCAAATGTTGCACCAAATTTTGTTTCTACCACCCATTCATATGACACAGAAATGAAAAATAATGCATTTAACAGGTGAAGTGAGGAAGTTAATGCAGTAAGTTAAGTCTCTGTGCTTTTGATACAGTAAGATAAAAAAAAAAATGTCAGTTGGGCACAGTGGCTCACGTCTGTAATCCTAGCACTCTGGGAGGCCGAGGCAGGAGAACTGCTTGAGCTCAGGAGTTCAAGACCAGCCTGAGCAAGAGTGAGACCCCCCATCTCTACAAAAAATAGAAAAATTAGCTGGGCATCGTGGTGCACACCTGTAGTCCCAGCTGCTTGGGAGGCTGAGGCAGGAGGACTTCAGCCCAGCAGTTTGAGGTTGCTGTAAGCTATGATGATGCCAGTGTACTCTAGCCAGGATGACAGAAAGAGACCCTGTCTCAAAAAAATGTTCTCTAGAGCTCAACAGTAAGCATAATATCAAAAGTACCCCTGGTTTAGTAGTATGTCTTCCTATGCTATATGCATGTATAATACCATCCTTACCTACCCATCTTGCAACAAACTAATCTGCTTCATGGATGTTATTGAATTCTTCTCCTTTTCAAACTCTCTATTCAGGACCTTCTAAGTAACCCCAAGTTCTCACTTTCTAGAATTCTCTGGGTTGAATGTGATTCTTCCTTAGAACAGCCATTACCAAACTTTGGAACCCACATTCTTGGGGCATTAAGGTTCCGCAAATATTAATTTCTGCCAAATACTGAAGAGCTTTTTTGGCTAAGGGAACTAATTAATAACCTTTTTATTTATGCTAGTCCTGTTCAGATTTAGTTGGTAGTAAAAAAAAAAAAAAAACTCAGCTGCTTAAAAAATTATTGCTTATCATTTATAATACTTTGGCTCTAAATTATCAAAGAAGATCTTCAGAATAAATTTACATGAATTCACTGCTTCAAACTGCACAGGAAAACTGAAAAGCATTTTGTTTTCTCCTTAGAAATCCCCTGCTCCCCATTTGGATGCTCCTTTGGGTAAGCAGGAAGTGCTGCTTCACAGGAAGCTGGGATGACCAGGGCAAACCCACAGGAACTTGTCATAATTCAGACAAGGGGATGTAAACCCAGTGAAAGACATTAAGCAACCCTCACAGACTCTCCAACACATGGCATTTCTTCCCCTTTACTTTTGGCTTTATATCTTTAACTTGAACATGACTTAGATTTAACCTCAAAATTTGTAATTTATTCTTCTTTCATGTATATCTTGTGAAATACATTCTACACTCAAGATTATTGCTTCCTGAGAACTGAACACATTGTCAGGATGCCTGATTAAGACCCTCTATTTCAGAATGCATTATTTATCACCAAAAACACTAGAGTGGGTGTCTTATAGGACAATTAATGAGCGACACAGTTTATATATTCTAAAAGCTTAGAATATAAAATAAAATTGATTAATAACATATACCCTACATATATGAAAATGAATGTGTAAACATAACTAACCTCGATATGTATTATCTATATTTCTATATAATATGAACATAATTACATATAAATGTATACAAATAGTTTATATTTATATACATTTATGCTTTTAAAATGGTCAAATTCCAAATTCTAGGTAATGTTAACCTAGATAACCTAGATAATTATCTAGTTAACATAGATAATTAACCAGATAATATTGGCATCCATGTTTTGAATGATTCTTCCATCAGTTTAGAAGCTCATTCCTAAAAGTAACAGTAAACTCAGACTTAAATTGATTTAGATAATTTTAAAAAATGTATTATCTCACACACACACAAAAAATAGGAAGCCCAGACTGCTGATTCAGTGACAGTGAGGTTATAAAAACCCCTGGTTGTCTTCTTCTCTCTGACCTTCCACAGCATCAGCGAGGTCCAATCTTTTTTTTTAATTGAGAAGGAAAATAAATGTGTGTGTGTGTGTGTGTTTGGTGTACAACATGGATGCTTTTACATTATGGAACTGTTAAATCAAGCAACTTAACATACATATTACCTCACATACTGTGAGGGAAATCGCATGTGTATAGGCAACAGGTTTCTTAGGCCAACCTAAGACAACTGCCACAGTGTTTTTTCCGGCCCAGTCCCCCTGGTTAGCCGGCCTTACAGGGAGGCGTGAGTCAGCATACTTATGTAACCAAGGTGTCACCTCCTGTGTGAACCCATGTGGCCATGCTTTCCCATGACATGTTGCCACTATTGTTCAGAGCCATATGTGAGCGCTCACCATGTTCTCCGCCATGCTTTTCACCACTGCCGTATCCCGTAGACGATAAAGAGCATGTCTCACCTGCCTGCTGCCACTCGCCTTATCTTCCGATTCCCGAAGCCATCGCGGGAGCACGTGCTAGCCACGGAGCATCCTCCTCACACTTGGTGTATTCTGGCAGGACCCGGAGTGCTAAGTGTCCCCTCCACCCAGCAGGGGAGGTCATGTGGCCCCCTATGGGCTTGTGGCAGCCAGTGGCAGCGGTCTTCGTGTCGTGGGCCCCTGCCAGGGGGTGGGAGCGGTAGAACGTACACCTGCCACCCTAGAAAAAGCCTCGAAGGCCTTGGAGGAGTCTCTGGGGCCTAGGGAGCAAGTAGCGGCTGGTCGGGTGGGCCGGCTCTTCCTTACAGCCCTCTGGGAGCAGCATAAGGACACCCTGCGCCAAGAAGCCCAGGTAAGGGAGTTACAGGAGACAGAGGAAAATTTGGAAGCCCACCTGCAGGAGTTGGAGAAAGTTAAACAAGCCGTCCGACCTTGGGCGCTGAGGAAACTGCAGGTACGGAGGAGACTGAGGGCGCCCTGTGCGCCCCGTCCCCTGCTGAACCCTCTCTGCTGAGAGCCTGACCTGTCGTAAAACAGAAAATGCAGCAGGTACAGCCCATGGGTGGGTGAGGAGCAGTGGCACAGGCGCACCTACAGTAACGGGGCATATGTCTCGCTCTGCCTACACCCCTGCTGGCAACCTCCGGGAGAGACTGTGCCTGCCTGGTTGTTGTGTTTACGGGATGAAGGGATGGACGGCATCCTGTGCTCCCCAAGGGAGATGGGGCAATTGGCATCCGTAACTGTACATCCTTCCCTGAGGCAGAGGCCACAGGCAAGTGGTTGCCATGGTGAGGGCCACCACTCCTTGCTTGAAGGGCTTATGGCTGCCACCCGCCCTCACGGTATGGGATGATGCCAGAGAACTACCCCAAACCGTGAGTAAGTGGACTTCATACGCACACTTAATTCAGATTCTTCAAGGGTTGGGGATGCTCCAAGCCATATTTACAGTAGATAACTGGCAGCCCGATGAGGAGCTCTTCACTGTCCGCCTGCACCACCTAATCTTAGCCACAGCTCCCCCTTTGTTTGGCTCACTGGCAGCTGTGCTCACTCCCCATGTGGGGAAGCGGGTGCATGAGGTCACCACTGCCATGGCGGCTCTGGGAGATGTCAAAGAGCAGAAGGGAGGAGAAGATGAGTGCATATGCTACAAGGACCCAAGAAGGGCCCATGAGCACAGGCCCCTTGCAGAAGAAGGCAGTATGAGGGGCCCAGAAGGTGTCTCGAACCCAGATGTGGCTAGACCTCCTACTAGCAGTAGATAAAGAGAAGATAGATAAACAGCCTAACAGGTGTTGCTGGCTTTGTGGAATCAGCTGGCTCCCCACCAGTGATTCACGAAAGCACCAAGAGGCCGGGAACTGAGATGCACAGAAAAGAGACCAACAATGTGCAGCTGCAAGATTTTATGGTTGAAACGCCCTCTCTGATATAGACTAGGGATTAGGGCGAGGCACCGGTTAGAGGGGACCCCTGGATGACCAGAGGCTGCCTGTGGAACTTGCTATTCATTGGTCCCCTACAAATATGCAGCAGGTTTTGGCCTTGGTGGACATAGGAGCTGACTACTCCCTAATCTATGGAAAGCCTGAGTGGTTTGCTGGACAGACAGCCCACATAGTTGGCTATCGTCGGCAAACTATCAAAGGTAAGCAAGTGACTATTCCATTGGCGATAGGGCATTCAGCCCCCAGCCGTTACACTGTGTATGTGTCCCCATAAAGGAATATATTCTGGGTGTTGACATTCTGTGTGGCTTAACCCTAACCGCCTCTGCTGGTGAGTTAGGGTTGGGAAGCCCATGGTGCATGGCCACTCCCATCACCCACCGCAGGCTCTGCCCATACCTCTCGTGTGGTACACACCCGGCAGTATCATTTGCCCAGGGGGCACAAAGAGCTTTCACAGACCATATTGCAGCTAGAAAAGGCCAGCATAGTGTGCCCTGCTCACAGTCCATTCAACTCTCCTGTTTGGCCTGTTAAGAAACCAGATGGAACTTGGAGAATGACAGTAGACTATCAAGAGCTGAGTGACTCCCCCACTGCACACCATGGGGCCATCTATACTGGATCTGATGGATCAATTGGCTTTGGTGCTTGGACAGTACCACTATGCAGTGGACCTAGCCAATGCCTTTTTCTCCACAGACATAGCTATGGACAGTCAAGATACGTTTGCCTTCACGTGGGAAGGACGACAGTGGACATTTGTGGTGTTAATGTAAGGTTACCTTTACAGTCCAACCATATGTCATGGTTTGGTGGCACAGGATTTGGCCTCATGGAGTTGGCCATCCTCAGTGTTTCTATTTTGTTATATTAATGATACAATGTTAGCCTCTGATTCCCTTCCAGATCTAGAAGAAGCCGCCACCAATCTTTGCAGCTGGTTGGAACAATGGAGTTGGGTGGTGAACGACTCCAAGATCCAGGAACCTAGCTTGTTGGTAAAATTCTTGCATGTTGTCTGATCAGGTAAGACAAAAGCAATCCCTGAGGTCATTATAGATAAGATCCAAGTCTTTCCCCAACCCACTACAGTGGAACAGTTACGAGTGTTTGTGGGGCTTTGGGGATATTGGTATATATTCATTCCCTGCTTGGCCCAACTATTGTGGCCATTGCATTCATTATGTAAAAAGAGGGCACAATGGGACTGGTCCTGGAGTCAGAGGCCTCTTTTATGGCAGGCAAGAAGGCTATTGCACAAGCCCAAATGCTACAAGTAGTAAACTGTGCACAGCCATTTGACCTCAATGTGACAGTCGACTCAAGCGGGATGGGCTGGGGTTTGTGGCAACACCAGCATAAGCAGTGAGTCCCTATTGGGTTTGGGTTCCAAATTTGGAAGGGCTCCCAGGAAAGCTAATCCTTGGTGGAAAAGCAGCTGGTGGCTGTGTATGCTGCCCTTCAGGCCTGTGAAGCTATAGCTAGGCAGTCTAAGGTGCTGGTGTGCACCGTGTATCCCATAGCAAGATGGGTAAGGTCATGGATAACCGGCCCACGATCAGGGGTAGCCCAGACACCCACTCTGGCAAAGTGGGGAACATACTTGGAATAACAAGCAGAGTTCAGCTCCAGCCCTTTAACTGCAGAGTTGCAGACAGTACTGGGTCTTGTTGAATTTTGTGTCTGAAGTGGACCCTCAGACCATGGTAATACCTAGGGAACAGAGACCATACCTTAAAGGATGGGGCCCCCCTCCAGTGGAGGCCTGGTATACCAATGGATCCAGTCATGGCTGCTTCGCCCAGTGGACGGCAGTGGCTGTCCAGTTGAATCATAATGAAATTTGGTTTGAAACGGGGCAGGGACAGAGCAGCCAATGGGCTGAATTCTGTGCCGTGATCATTCACAAGCCATTCCCTTTGCATATCTGCACTGATAACTGAGCCATGTTTAAGAACCTCACTGTCTGATTATCTACATGAAAAGCCCAAGGTTGCCTAGTAGGGCAATACCTGGTATGATTGGCTTTATCTTTTCACTCATTTAATGGAAAGGTGCACTTAAGGTGCACATGGGGACAGCCATATGTCCCAGGGAAGGTCCTCTCCACATTTACCTAGAAACCACATAATTGGAATGCCATGTTCTCCCACTGGCACCGGGTAAAATAGACTCCATGGTGATTCTAGCTGGCAGCTATACGTTCCCCTGGGGGTGGAGCCATTAAGGTAAAAATAAAAGTGAATGCCCTAGCAGAGCATACTGCTCGGGCCATGAATCAAACCAGGCAGGCCTTAGCCTTCCTGATGGATTAGATCACTCAGATGAGAAAAGTAGTTTTGCAAAACTGCATGGCCCTTGATCTCCTCACTGCAGCTCAAGGAGGCACATGCACAGTCATATGTACTGAATGTTGTGTATATATACCTGATCGCCAGAAGGATATTTCCTCTGCGTTGAAGGAAGTTGATGGCAAGGTGCAGGCCATCCAGCAGTTAACTGGAGACCCATTGCAACAATGGTGGGGACATCTCTTGTCATACTGGCATTTAAACCTTTTACTGTTAGGAGCTGCTGGCTGTGGTCTGGTAAAACTGCATTTTTCCCTGTATTGTTATTGTGGCCTTTGCACCCAAGGGACCAATCTATGGGCCTGTGTGTCCCCACAAAACCTATTACGTAGGGGGTGGATGTAAGGGAAGTTGCATTCGTGTAGGCAACATGTCTCTTAGGCCAAACTAAGAGGATTGCCCATGGTGTTTTTCCAGCCAGGCCCTCTGGTTAGCTGGCCTTTCAGGGGGGTGTGAGTCAGCACACTCATGTAACCAAGGTGTCATCTCCTGTGTGAACCCATGTGATAGTGCTTTCCCGTGGCATTTTGCCACTATTGTTCAGAGCCACGTATAAGCGCTCGCCATGTTCTCAGACAAGCTTTTCACTGCTGCTGTATCCCCCCCACAAAATAAAGAGCATGTCTCACCTGCCTGCTGCCACTCACCTTTTCTTCCAGTTTCCAAAGCCTGCGCAGGAGCACGTGTTAGCCACAGAGCCTCCTCCTCACACATACTTGTCATTTTTTGTAGGTGGGAACACCCAAAATCTGGTCTTAGCAACTTTCAAGTACACAGTATATTAATAACCATAGTCACCATGATGTACTATAGAGTTCTTGAGCTTATTTCTCCTTTTTAACATTTTGTGTTGATGTTTCATTGTTGGATAGAGGCCAATGGCCACTATAGCAGCATCCAGTGAAAGATAAAGGAGACTTCCGCAATTATGTAATTGACGTTCCTTCTTTCAAATTGATTGGGCCAAGTGATATCAGTAGCCATGCCTGGACTAAGAATACAGGGTGGTTCTAATTACCTGATTAGCTCAAGCCTGGGTTCCTGGACGAAGCATTGGCAGTGGGCATGGGATAACTACAATTAAACCTATCAGAAACCACTCCTAAAGTTAGGTTTGGCTTTAGACTCTTCTGAGTCAAAGAGGTTAACCAGAATAGGGTTTATACCTGCATAAAATTGAGAGAAAGGAAAAAGGGTTAGAATGGATAGTGGATAGGGAACAAAGAAGATTTCCTATAATTCCATTAAAAAATAATGAGAACACTAAAGAAAATGCCATATATTTGATTATCATCATAATAAAATAGTCACAGTGTCTGACCCATTCATGTTCAGTATCTAAACCAGAGATCTCTGAACCATGGCTTGGGAATTAAGAGAGACTAAGTTCCCCTCCCCATTGCCAGGGAAGCCTGCTCTATCTTGGAATAGACCTAATTCTGTGGCACTAAATTTTCTCAGTTACCAAGAAGAGATGGAAGATCCACCATGGAATGGGGAGCATTGCCTTTGGAGGCATACTGAACAGAATTCAAATCATAGATCCTCCCCCTGAAATCCATATGACCCATGCAAAATACTTAGCATCTGTGAGCTTCCCTTGCATAATACATATGTCAAAGGGTTTGTAGTGATTAAAGGAGATAAAGTAAAAAGTAATCAATGTGCCTCACACAGTGCCTGGAAGGCTGCAGGTATGCAGTAATTGTTGGCACACCCCAGGCATTTGGCCAGGACCTTACCATATGCCAAGATTGCCTCCCAGACTGAAGGGAACTAAATCCAACCTCACTACCACCGCTACACACAGACAGACATACACACACACATACAGAGGCACAAATTAAGGCTAGTCAGCAATGCTGCAGCAGGGAGCACCACTACCCTAGTGAGAGGATTGCTGACATTAGGATAAAGCAGAAGTGCCCCTAGTGCACAATTTAATTAGGCATTTGTGCAATCCTGCGAGTCCTCCAAGTCACCTGTCTTGCCTCACCCAGTCTCAACCCTAGCCCACCTCTGCTTCTTCCAAATCCACATTCAACCACCTGCTCATCACTGAGTTCAATGCACTTTCAGTTCCATTGAGTCATTTTTGGTATTTTCATTCCTTCCTGATCTAAGAATATTTTACTTCTGCAAGTTTAATTTCTTTTCCTGAACATAGTATAACACAAAATTGCAACTTTTTCCCCCACCCCCATCTCCACCCCAGCAAGAGGGGCTTTGGTGACTATGAGAATGTGTGAATTATTCTTTTTTGAAGTGTTTTGTGCTTTGTGGATGAAAGGTGTTCCATGAGTTCAAAGCATTCCTATTACTATTTGTCCACTATTCAGGACAATGAGGGTAATTTGGCAACAGCTTTTCTCCTTGGCAGAAGAAAAGGCTGATGGGAATGGGGGGATTATGTTCATTTTATTCAAGGTTAAGGTCACAGGCAATGCACAATAAAAAGTTCTTTGTTTTATGAATAAATAAAAGATTTTTGATTTATCCCTTTATTTCAGAACACCAGCATACATTCATTTTTTAAATGTTTGAAATACCTTTTCCACAGTATTATAAGAAAACTTTCTCAAGTTACAAATTTATTATCCACAGTTTATATTTCACAGTCATGAATCTTTACTGTCCAAGCAAACTTTGATGCAGATCGTGGTATTCACCATAAATTATGTCATTCTCAGTGATTCATTACATTGAGACGCATTTGTTTTTTGAATAACATAATGACTGATATCCTCAAGTTAATGCAGGAATACTGGACATCACTAAAATAAGAGTGATCAGAATTTCAGGGCTATTTGCTTCTGGTAGAAAATTAAGAAGAGATCAGTCACTGGGGAACGTAATTTATTTTACTCACATCCCAGAGGTTTGTCCAGTAATTCTTCAGCTTGCTCTGATAATTAAAATTCTCTGCCACTGCTGGAAATTTACCTCTCATTTCTCCCAGAAAAAGTTTCCAAGAAGGTAAATTTTGCTCACAAAGGAGCTTTATCATTTATGAGGAGCATTTTTTGTTGGTTATTTTAAGATATTTCATTATGCATTTCTGTTTTAATTAATGTCAGTATAGATTTTTTCCTCTTTGAACAGCTTTCTACATTTTAGAAGGTCTTTTCTGTTAAAAATGATTTTCATACCTAGAAAATGCATCAATTTCACTAATGTTTGATCTAAACTCTGTGAGTTGTGAACACAGATATTCACGCATCATTCTGCACGTTGTCAGTGTGTTATCTACTGCTCTGTGACTACTCATGCACCAACAGATATAATTAGAGAAGATGAGGGGGTTTCTAACAAAGCTAAAGCGAATTGAATTGCCACTCTGTCTAAAGGAGATCAAATAAGTCTTCAAATAAGATTACATGACTTTAAGGGCTACCCATATAATTAAATGCACAGTTTTCTACCCTTATATACTGACTCCTTGGATACAAATTGAGTAATGTATTACTTTTTAAACATTTACTTTTTAGAAAATAATATATTAATAATTTTGCATAATTATAGAGAATATAATTTCCTCATTCTCATATTTCTGTCTCTCTCTTTCTCTCTCTCTCTCTCACACACACATACACACACACACACTCACTCACACACTCAGATATACACTACACCCTTACTCATCACATTGCTTCATCTTTCCCAAGTAGCATAATA